GATGACGATGCTGATATTGATGACGACGAGGAGGGTGATGATGATGATGGTGACCTGGGGGCATGAATCTGATGATGATGCTGATGCTGCTGATCACGACGATGATGCTGATGATGAGGACCTTGATCATGATGATGATGCTGATCATGACAATGATGATCATGATGATGATGAAGACTGTGATGATACTGATTATGATGATGATGCTGATGATGATGGTGATGGTGATGGTAATGCAAATGCGTGTGCTAATGCTGCTGACGACGATGACGATGATGAGGAAGAGGAGGATCATGCTGATGCTGATGCTGGTGGTGATGCTGCCGGTGATGATGATGATGAAGATGATGATGCTGATGATGAGGGTGATGCTGATGATTCTGATGATGATGATGATGGTGATGCGGATGGTGATGATGATGACGATAATGCTGATGCTCATGATGACGATGATGACAGTGCTGATGCTGCTGACGATGATAACGATGATGATGATGCTGATGATGCTGATGATGATGATGCTCATGCTGATGCTGCTGATGATGATAACGATGATGATGATGATGATGATGCTGCTGATGATGATGATGATGATGATGATGATAACGATGATGATGCTGATGATGCTGATGATGCTGCTGATGCTGCTGCTGATGATGATGATGATGGTGGTGGTGGTGATGATGATGATGATGATGATGATGCTGCTGCTGATGATGATGATGATGATGACGTGGTGGTGGAGGTGATGGCGGTGGTGGTGATGATGATGATGCTGATGATGATGCTGATGCTGATGCTGATGGTGATGGTGATGGTGATGATGGTGATGATTCTATAGGCTTACGCCACATTCCCTGACCCCTATATAAACTATTGTGCCTCCAGGAGTGCATTTCACGAGGCTTGTCCGAATCATGACACGGCGCTCGACATCGTTCCTGTTGCTTCGTTGCTGTTATCGTACCTCTTGGTGCTCTTTTGAGGCCTTTTGGTGGCATCTTGGCCTGTCTGCAGGTCATATCCGGCCGCCTCGAGGCATCTTGGGCCAAGTTTTGGGGCCTCTTGTGGGCTTCCTGGGGGCTTCTTGGAGGCTTTTGAGGTTCTCTCGGAGGTCCCTCAGGGCCTCTTGGGGTGTTCTTGGGGCAGGCTGGGGGCGTCTTGGGGCCGAAGGCTCGAAAAGGTGCCCTCTGGACTCCGTTTCGGAGCCGTCTGGGGGCCCTCTTGGGCTGTCTTGGGGGCTTCGTGGGCTGTTGTTGGACCCTGTTCGACCCTTCTTGGGGGCTCCTTTGGCCGTCTGGGGGCGATATTGAAGGTTTCTTTGCCCGTCTGGGACGTTGTGAGTAGGCGAGCATGCGAGAACTGCTGGTTTTTCTTAGGGAATGGGGCGATTTTTGTTCCTTGGGACCTTCTTGGGGCGCATCTTGGAGGCCTTTTGGGGCGTCTTGGCAGCTTCGGAGGCCGCCTGGAGGCCAACGTGGGCGTCCAGGGGCGATATTTCGGCGAATCGTGGCCCCTGGGACCGTCTGGGGAGCGTTTTGGTGCCTTCTTGGCCAGTTTTGGAGCCCTCCGCTTCCCCGTGGCGCGTTCGGTCCCAGTCGGGCTCCGCCAAGGGGGGGGCGGGTCAAATTGCCGGTTTGGAGTCCCTGGGGGGGGATTATGGGGGGGGATACTTTACACGCCTAGAGACCCACAAGGGGTCGGCGGATTCTGATAGTGGTTGTGGTGGTGATGACGCTGATGATGATGATGATGATGATGATGATGATGATGATGATGATGATGATGATGATGCTGATGGTAATGATGATGAGGATGTTGCTGCTGCTGATGATGATGATGATGATGCTGATGATGCTGATGATGATGCTGATGATGATGATGATGACGATGCTGATGATGATGATGCTGATGATGCTCATGCTGATGCTGCTGCTGATGATGATGATAACGATAACGATGATGATGATGATGCTGATGATGATGATGATGATGATGATGATGATGATGATGATGATGCTGATGCTGATGATGATGATGATGATGATGATGATGCTGATGATGATGCTGATGATGCTGATGATGATGCTGATGATGATGATGATGACGATGCTGATGATGATGATGCTGATGATGATGTCGATGATGATGATGATGATGATGCTGATGATGATTCTGATGATGATGATGATGATGATGATGATGATGATGATGATGATGACGGGGTGGTGGAGGTGGTGGTGGTGGAGGTGGTGGCGGTTGTGATGATGATGATGCTGCTGCTGATGATGATGCTGATGATGATTATGATGATAATGAAAGAGAAGAACTCGAGGAATCATAATAATACCAAGAGTATTAATGCTACAACTAAGAAGAACGCGAGAAGTAATGGTAATGCCAATAGTAGTAGGAATACTAGTATGACTAATAAGCATAATTCTAATGCTAATTTAATATGAATGCCAATACTAGTATAATTCATACCAGCAACAATACTGTTCATATTGCTAATCTTGATACGGTTCATATCGCTAATCATGATAATAATAATAATAGTAATAGTAATTGTAAAAGTAAGACTGATAATCGTTGTATGTTTGAGGAGGGGGAGGAGGAGGAGGAGGAGGAGGAGGACGAAGAAGAGGCGGATGAGGAGGAGGAGGACGAGGGGGAGGAGGAGGAGGAGGAGGAGGAGGAGGAGGAGGAGGAGGAGGAAGGAGGAGGAGGAGGAGGAGGAGGAGGAGGAGGAGGAGAGGAGGAGGAGGAGGAGGAGGAGATGATGATGATGATGATGATGATGATGATGATGATGTGATGATGATGATGATGATGATGGTGGTGGTGGTGGTGGTGATGATTGATGATGATGATGATGATGATGATGATGATGATGATGATGATGATGATGATGATGATGATGATGATGATGATGATGATGATGATGAGATGAGGATGAGGAGGAGGAGGAGGAGGAGGAGGAGGAGGAGGAGAGGCTGAGGAGGAGGAGGAGAAGGAGAGGAGGAGGGGGAGGTGAAGGAGGAGGAGGAGGAGGAGGAGGAGGAGCAGGAGGAGGAGGAGTAGGAGGAGGAGGATGATGATGTTGATGATGATGATGCTGTCTCTGCTGAGGAGGAGGAGGAGGAGGAGGAGGAGGAGGAGGAGGAGGAGGAGGAGGAGGAGGAGGAGGAGGGACGAGGACGATGACGTGGACGAGGAGGAGGAGGAGGAGGTTGAGGTAAACGTGGCAGAGGAGTGGTTGGAGCAGGTGTGAGGTCTTCAGGCTGATCGCTACTTCCCCAAACGAGCGGCAGTGCTCCTGGGGCCCCTTTGGGGGTGCCCCCTCTTCGGCAGCGTTCTCCGAACGTGCATTTCGCTGGAGGCTTGTCTTGTGAAGGCCTTACGGCTGGTGCCGCCGACCCTGAAAGCGGGACCTCCCCCCAGGACCCCTGCCGGCGCCCCCCCCCGGGACCTGCTTGGACCCCGGGAGGGGGTGGTATTCTGACCTGGGACCACCCTCCTTCGATGCTCGTTTCGGGGACCTTCCTGGAGCCCACCTAATGGATCTGTTCGACTCAGGTTCGACTCAGGTTCGACTCAGGTTCGACTCAGGTTCGACTCACGTTCGACTCAGGTTCGACTCAGGTTCGACGCAGCTTCGACGCACGAGTGGAGCGAGTGGCTCCAGGAAGGTCTCCAGAATGAGCATCTAACCCTCCCTTGGGACCCTCCTCCAGGGGTCTTCCAGGGTGCTCGCAGGCACGCAACATCGACCCGTAGTCCTCCGCAGGCTGGTGTGCCCAACGCGCGCGCGGTGACCCCGCCCGCGTGGAGCCGAAGAGCCACGGTGTCCCCGCGAGCCCCGCCGCAGCCAACGGCGCTGGCGATCGCGATGCGTCCTCTCGGAGCCGGGGGCGCCTTCAAAATAGCAGCCGACTGCGGCGTTGGCGCTGGCAGTGCGAAATGGGTGGTTGGTGTGCCGACGGGGAGGGCGCAGAAGACGCAACATCCATCGTGCTGCTCACAGCTCCCTGCTGCTGCTGCCGCTCCTCCTTCTCCCTCCTCCCTCCGACCTCCTCCCTCCTACCTCCTCCCTCCTCGGCCCTCCTGCCGTGCCACCCCGGCCTCCCGTTGGGGCGGGGCCCCTGCGCAGGGATCCGTGGGCATCGGCAACGGGACCACCGGTGTGCAGGGCACGGAGGCCCCACGCGCGGGTCCGCCGCCGGCGCTGCCCGTCTGCGTCATTGCGGCTGCCGGCTTCGCGAGCGCGGAGGTACGGCCGAGGCTCGAGATCGCAGGTGGGCGTTGGAGGAAATGAAGAGGGTGGCAGGAGTGGATGGGGAGGGTGGATGGGAGGGTCCTCCTTCTACTCCTCCCACCTCTTCGGGATCCTTCCACCTTCTCCTCCTCTTGCCCCTCCTGCGGATCCTCCCTCCTGCTCCTGCACCATCTCCTCCAGCATTTCCTGCAGCACCTCCTCCCTGGCCTCTCCTCCACGGGAGACCCCAGGAGAGCTTGAGAGGGCGAAGGAGGCTCCATGACTCTCCAGGAGGCCGCAAGAGTGCCCTTGGCGGGCCCGGGAGGCCCCAGGAGTGCGGGAGAGAGGGGAGGGCAGGAGAGAGGCTCCCTGGTATTGTCAGCGTGGCGTTTGCACTCTCAGCGTGAGAGCCTTTTTCTGTCGCGCAGGGCCGAAAAGCGTCGCGCACGCCTTGCTTTCTTGCATGCACCTGGCCTTGCTTGGGGGGCATTCTTCTTTCCCGCATTTCAGCGCGAGCCCACGAGAGGGTCGTTGCGGTTGTTTCTGGGGCCTCCGCGAGGCCCTCGCTGGCCGGTTTGGGGCGTTTTTGGGGGCCTCCTGGTTTTTTTTCTGGGGTCGCTCTTGGACGCTTCCTGGGCCGCTGTGGGCCTCGTGAAAGGCCCAGAGGCGAGTGCGCTTAAAGTATGTTTTGTCCGTAGGGAATGGGGCGATTTTTGCTTCTGGGGGGCGTCTTGGTGGCTTCTTTGGGCGTTTTCGGGGCTTCTGGGACCGTCTGGAGGCAATCCTCGGCGTTGTGGAACGATCCCTCGTCGACTCGTAGCTCTCTTGGACCGTTCCAGGAGCCTTTTGGGACCTTTTTGGCTCGTTCTGGGGCCCCTTCCGGTTCCAAGTGTGCGGCTGGCACCTTTACCCCCCCCCCTGTGGGAACCCTTTGGGGCCGTCGGGGGAGCCCTTTGGGGCCTTCCTGGGGCCGTCCTCGGTGGCTGCGGGGGCCCTGGGTCTGGGAGCCCTCTTGGAGGCATATGGGGTTTCCTTGAATTGATTTGGGGGCTTCTTGGGTTGTTGTGGACCTCGTGAAAGGCCAAGAAGCGAATGTGCTAAACTTGGACGTTTCCCTCAGGGAACGGGCCGATGTTTTTTTCTGGAGGGCCTCTTGGGCCGCGTCCTGGTGGCGTGTTGCGGCGTGCAAGCGGTTTCAGGGGCCGCGTGAAAGGCCAAGAGGCGAACGTGTTGGAAACATGTGTTTTTCATCGAGAATGTGACCGTCGTTGCTTCTGGAAGGCTTCTTGGGACGCCTGTGGGTAGCGTGTTGAGGCGTCTGGGGGGCCTGTAGGGCTGTCGGGAGGCCATGTTGGACGACTTGGTGCACTGTTGGACGACTTGGGCCGACCAGGAGGCCTTTTAAGAACCCTCTTGGCCCGTCTTGGGGCCCTCGTGGGACCGTCCTGCGGCTCTCCCGGGCCGTTGCTATGGTTTCTGGGGCCTTCGTTGGGCGCCCAGAGGCCGTCTTGGAACCCTCTTGAAAGCCTCTGGGGCTGTAGGGGGTCGATGTTGGATGCTTTTTGGGCCATTGTAGGCCTCGTGGAAGCTCAAGAGGCGAATGTGCTGAACATGTATGTCTTCCCTTGGGAATGGGACGATTTGTGCTTGTGGAGGCCTTCGTGGAGCGCCTCGGAGTAGCTTTTTCAAGCGTCTCGGGGGCCTATGGGGAATTGTCTGCAGGTAAGCTGGGGCGGTTTTGACCGAATCGTCCCCCTCGTGGGCCGTCCAGAAGGCCTTTGGGGACCCTCTTGACCCGTTGTGGGGCTCTTGTGGGACCGTCCTGCGACTGTCCTGGGCCGTTGCTGCGGTTTCTGAGGCTTTCGTGGTGCGCCCGGAAGCCGCCGAAGAGCCTTTTTGAGAGCCTCTTGGGGTGTCGGGGGTCGAACTTGCAGGTTTACTGGGCCATTGTAGGCCTCGTGGAAGCCCAAGAGGGGAATGTACTGTAAATGTATGTTTTCCTATGGGAATGGGACGGTTTTTGCTTCTGGAGGCCCTCGTGGAGCGCCTCGTGGGCGCGTTTTCAAACGTCTAGGGGGGCCAATGGGGCCGTTTGGAGGCAATCTTGGGCGGTTTGAACCGAATCGCCCCCCGCGTGGGCCGTGGGGGCAGCCTTTTGAGGACCCTGTTGGCCCGTTTTGGAGCCCTCGTGGGACCGTCCTGCGGCCCTCCCGGGCCGTTGCTATGGGTTCTGGAGACTTCGTGAATCGTTTGGAAGCCGTCGTGGAGCCTTTTTGGGAGGCTCTTGGGCTGCGGAGGGTCGATCTTGGAGGCTTCTTGGGCCGTTGTGGGCCGCGTGGAAGCCCAGAAGGCGAATGTGCTGAAAATGCACGTTTTCCCAAGATAATGGGGCGATTTTTGATTCTGGAGGGCCTTCGCGGGGCGCCTCGTAGTACTTTTTCAAAAGTCTTGGGGACTGATAGGGCCGTTTGGTGGCAATCTTTAGCGTTTTGGAGCGATCTTTCGTCGACTCGTAGCTCTCTTGGACCGTTCTGGGACCATTTTAAACCCTTTTGGCTTGTTTTGGGGCCTCCTGAGGCTCCAAGAGTGCGGCCGACACCTTTGCCCCCCACCCCTCCTCCAAACCGGCCGGACCGGGCCCCCGGGGGAAGGGTTTGGGGAGGGGGAAGCATCTCACACGTGACCCCAAGGGGTCGACGAATTATGCTGATGATGCTGATTGCAAAGATGATAATGCTGCTTATGATGCTGACCATGATGATGCTGATGCTGATGCTGATGATGATGCTGATGCTGATGCTGAAGCTGATGCTGATGCTGATGATGATGCTGATGCTGCTGCTGATGATGATGATGCTGCTGATGATGATGCTGATGATGCTGATGATGCTGATGATGCTGATGATGCTGATGATGCTGATGATGGTGGTAGTGGTTGTGGTGATGGTGATTGTGGTGGTGGTGATGTTGATTGTGATCATGCTGTTGTTGCTTATGCCGATGAATCTGCTGGTTCTGTTTCTGCTGCTGATGATGCTGATGCTGATGCTGATGATGATGATGCTGATCATGATGATGATGATGATGATGATGATGATGATGATGATGATGATGATGATGATGATGATGATGATGATGATGGCTGTGGTGGTGGTGGTGGTGGGCGTGAGATGATGATGGTGATTGTGATGATGAGGAGGAGGAAGAGGAGGAGTGTGACGAGAAGGAGGCGGAGGAGAACCAGGAATAGCTTGGTTCATGATGAAGGCGACGATGTGATGAGGAGGATGAGGATAATGTCGGTGAGGGTGAGGATGAGGAGGGTGAGGGTGAGCCAGGGAGTCGTAGCTCACACAGGTATCCTCTGCTCTACTTATGGCCCTCGTGCTGCTCGTGCTCCTCATGCTCCTGCCCCTGCTGCTGCTAGTCCTCATCGTCCTCCTCCTTCCTCATTTTCACCCCCTCCCTCCAGCTCATCCTCTAGCTCATCCGTCCGTAGCCATTTCGGCTCAAGGCCAAGATGGTGACTTCATAACTGCCTAAGCGGGGGTCGGCTCCCTTCCAATCGTCTCGACGGTTGGGCCCCTGCGCTTGCAGCAACAGCCAGGGGTGAGCTGCCACCCATTCCAGCGCTTCGCTATCCATATCATCGCTGTTTCAGTATTCCATATTCTCGGTGCTGCTCTTCGAACCGACACCCTCCATATTCTCGCCGAGTCCGCTTCTGTGAGTGCAGTGCGGCGCCCGTTGTCTTCAGAATGGCTTCGCGCAGCGGCGCTCGCAGGGCCATCGGCGTCGACACGCGGCGGCCAGCGGATCGCGTAGTGATAGGGGTCAACGACAAGAGGCTTCCACAACACCAGTTGCCAGCCGAAAGCCACGACGTGAACGCCAATGACGTGCTACGAAGGAACGCAACCACCGGCAACAACAAAGGACCGCACCCATCGGAAGGGGGCGCGGGCAGCTCAGGAGGTGCCGCGTCGCAAGCTCGACGGGAACAACGTCGATGACAACGACGCGATGAACAGCAACTACTGGACGACATCGACCGCTTCGCAACGCTCCCTGGCTCTGAGCGTCCTCGGCCTCCTGACCCGCTTCGGGAACGCGATCCTTGGGCCGCCGTTGCTCTAACATCAAACACTGGGACCGACACGCCGCCAGACGCACAAATGGGAAGGTTTCTATATGCTTCAGGTGCTGGGCAAGTCGCGCTTGAAGCCAAGCTCACCAACATCTTTACATGACAGATGCAACTGGCCACCTCAAGGCAACCGGCGGAGACGACCGCCATAATGCAGAATGCCACGGTCACGCTCCACAGCGAGCTCCAGACCATTCTGGGTCAAGCCCGTCAGCAAGACAATCGTCTCGACGCCCTGGACACCACGGTGCGGGACATCAGCCAGCGTGCCTTCGCGGTCGAGCAGGAGCAGCAGCAGCTCCGCTCTGACGTCGCGCGCATCCAGGCCACCCTGGCCATAGCTGAGGCCACCCTCCCGCCCCCGGACATGGCTGCGCTCGCGGTGTGGGATCAGATCCCCACTTCCGCACACGTGGAACGCCTTCAGCAGTGCAGCCATCTGGTGTGCGGCGAGCGCTGGGGCCATGGATCGCAGCTGCGGGAGTGGCAACGTCAGATGTCGAACTGGTGGGGGGCGTCCCATCCAGGCGTTCCTTTCTTTGCGTACTCGGCGGCGCGGCGGCTTCCTCGCGCAGTGTGTCTCTATTGCGCGTAACCTCCGACATGGAGGGCTGTGGCGCGCGTTTCCGCCAGCGACGCCAGCGGGGCCGTCGCCCCGTTTTGCATCAGCGTCAACCGAAATCCGTAGATGCCCAGGCGCGAGCTCCAGACAAAGAAGTTCGTCCGATGACTGTGGGGGCGGCATGCAGGTCCTCTCTTTCGGAAAGTTGGTGGCGACGGGATCATATCTCGCGACTCTGCCCCCATCGTCTCGGTCGAAGTCGGCAACGCAGCGACGGCGGCTGCGCGACTCAATGGGATGGTGCAGCCATCGACGGTATTGGGAGCGACAATCAATTCACCAACGCGGAGTTCCAACGACTATTCCGCGCCGCTGGCACTTCGCTGTGGTCTCCTCAACAATCGCTGGCGTCCCTGGCAGGTACTTCCCACAGCGTCTGCTCTGCTGGTTTCATGGGATATCAGAGTCCTGCGTTGCTGCCGTGCACGGCGGCGTCGCGCGAGGCTTTGCCGTCGCGAAGCGCGGTGCTCTCGTCATGTTGCAAGAGACGCGCGGCGTGCGTCAACGGCTCGTGGTGCTGATTGGCTCCTCCCCCTTCCCTTGCATTCCCATGCAAGGCCCGGCATTCGCGCGCCTCGCAGTCTCGCCCGGGTGGAGTAGCATGTCTTCTTCCATGGCCGCGATGGGCCCCCCCGGAACAGCGACCGCGCGTTCAATTTCAAGCTCTTGTTCCTGTCGGGGTAGCGTTGCTCCACGTTGATCGCCAATGCGGGCGCAGCTCCACGAATCTCATGAATGTCTGCAGTTGCGACATTGCCCCGCAGTCCAAACCCGTGATTGCCAATGCGTGGAAGGAGTCGGTCGACTGGAACAGCAACGGTGCGTTGCGCGGGGCGCTCATTACCATGGGCGACTTTACGCGCGAGGGAGAACCCTTCAGTTATGACGAGCCGACCCCGATGACCACTCCATTGCTGATGGCCAGGACGTTTCAAACGAATGGATTTTCCTTTTTCTAGAAAAAATCTTCTCGGGGAGCTTTGTTTGATATGGCGCTGGAGGTACGCGCGGACCTCCCCGTGCACATCAGTCGACAGCAATGCGCGGCGTCCGCCATTGACAGGGCGTTCGCTGCCAGTCCTGAGCACTTCCTCCCGGGCATGGATGTTTCTCTCAACGGCGGCGCGGACCCCGGTGAGATGTCGCAGCGCGGGCTCAGCGGCGACTCGATGCTGCGAGGCTTCAGAAAAAACGCCGCTGACCACGCCGTCCCTGATGTGGTGTTGAGCGACGTGAGGTGTGAGGTTATTCTCGACGGGCTGGTCGCGGCTGCGGAGTCGAAGAGGTTCCCGCCTGTTCTCCAATTGGTGTGCATGAAGGAGTTCATGGTAGAAGCGGCTAAGCAGACGCGAGATGAATTGCAGCGGTTACCTCCTCGCGCAGGAGCTGAGCGGTCCCGCGGCGGGCGCAATATCGCACTGAGGGGCCTGTCGCGAGCTGCGCGGCGACAGGATGTGCAATTTGCCTCGCTTCTCATCTCTAGCGCAGAAGACGGCGCGCGTGCCCTGTCATTTCAGAATGCGCACTGGTGGTTCTCAAAGACGCCGGCGTCGACGCCAGTTCCGTTCAGTACGCTCAGCAGAGTTGCGAGCTAATCATCGCGGTGCAGCTCAGTCTGCTCGGGATGCCACCCGATGAGGAGAACATCAGGCAGCGGTTCGTCACTTCGAGACTATCGAGGCTATCCGCCGCCGCGCTATGCTATGGAGACCACGTGGGCGTCGTCTGGTGTTAGCGGGGATTCGGCCTGAGCGCTCTCTCTCGGATTTCCGGGATGGCGCCGCCCGAGACCCCCTCAGGATCCTGTAGGCTCTCCGCAATCATTGGGCCGCGGTCTTTCGCGCTCGACCGGCTGGCCGGCTGGGCGTCGAGCGTTGCCTGGGGCAGCGTTGCCCGGCCTGCGACGTTTCCGGCCCAGGGCCCCCCGGAACCTTGGACCTTCAGAATGCGCTCGAGCTCGTGCGGCGCAGCGCTCCTGGCCCCGACGGGCTCCTCTACGTGGCTTGGATTGTCTCCGAGGTCTAGCTTGACGTCCTCTACGGGCCCCTCCACGCGCTGCTTGCTCCGCCGGCGTCAGCTTGCTCGCGTGCAGCGGCGCGGCTCCACCCGCTTTGAGCTACCCGTCGCAGCCGTTTCCATTGCCGCGAGTTGCTTTGCAAAGCCCAGAATTTGCCCTCGACGAGGTCCTGGGGCTGCCCCGCCTAATTCGTTCCGCATGGCCGGCTTGTTTTCTTTCGAGACGCATGGCTTGGTGGCGCCGAGACTGCGTGCGTCGTGAATGCCGCCTGCCCCTGGAGGCGTGGCCGCCGCGCCCCGCGAGGCTGGCAGTCGCAGTTGCGAGAACGGTCGTAGACGGCCATCCAGTCCATCCCGATCGTTCGACGGATTCGGGGCAAATGGGGTGCGCCGCGATGTAGAATTGAGCAGGACTCCCAGCGGCGCCATGTTAACCTTGGCCAGGTGGCGCCTTCTCTGAGCGCCCCCGATGCGAACTGGAGCGCGGCAGTAGCGGTGGCTCGCGATGAACGGGCCGCGGCTGCAGGTCCAGTGTGCCCTCTCCGCATCGCTCCGTGCCTCCCTTATTCCTCCGTCGTCTGAGATCGCGATCTCTAAGCGTCTGGATGCTTGGCCATGCCGCGGCGATTCGCGGGGCGGTGGGTGAGCGGTGGGGGGATGTCTCGCCGTGCTGCGCGCGCTCAAGCCAGCGTGACAATCGGGCCTACTCAAGACCCTCGCAGGAGGGTGGGCGACTTCGCGCCGCATGCATGTCTGTGTTGTTTCCGCGTGCCTCTTCGGTTGCAGATATAATCCTCGCCCCATTTAATTTTTGGCCATGCGGCCGATAGCGAGTGCAAATGCGCAGATTGTGCGTTCGGCCGCCGTGCCGCGATGCGACCAAGCGTGTTGTGTTTTCACGCCTACCACAAGCTCAGGGCGTCGGTGGTTCACGGAACACCAGCAGGCCCCTTGCAGCAATAGGCCGCGGTAGCAGTTGCTGCGCACGCCACTGACCAATAAGCGTGCTGGCACACTGTTGCTCCTCAAGTACGGTCGATCCTCTAGTTCATCCGCCACCCCTTCCCGTCGTAATGTGCAACGCTTCTGTCGTCTCATGACGCATAACGCGACGAGGTCTTTTTGGGAGTTCCACGTCCGCTATGCCACCCGCCGGCCGATGGAGTAATTAATACATCAGCGCAATGAGATGGAATGGGTGGGAAGGGTGGGATGTCGGATATGGCGCGGGTGCGCCTAGTTTGCCCCGCTCCCCCCTCGCCCCGCCCTCCCTCCTCCTCTGGGTTTCTCGTCCTCTCTCCCTCCCCCTCCAAGTCCCCTAGCCCCTAGCCTCCGACGACGATGAGCCGGCTGTCGGCGCCGCCGTGGCCGCCGCCGCCGCCGCCGCCGTCGTCGCCGCCGCCGCCAACGCCGCCGTTAGCGTGGCCGTGGCCGCGGCCTGCGCGCATCCCCCGCGGCCGCCGCCGTCGCCGTCGCCGTCGCCGTCGCCGTCGCTCTCGCCGTCGCCGTCGCTCTCGCCGTCGCCGTCGCCGTCGCTGTCGCCGTCGCCGTCGCCGTCGCCGTTGCTCTCGCCGTCGCTGGTCGCCGTCGCCGTCACCGTCGTCGTCGCCGACGCTGTCAGCGCGCCGCGGCCGCGCCCCGCGCGCGAAACCCCACCGCGCGCCGCTGATGGACCGCGCCTGGGCGGACGCGGGCTGCGCCGCGGCGGCGCCGCCGCCGGGCGCGCTCGGCTCGTGGGAGGAGCGCGCAGAGGGCGCGGCCGCGCGCGTGGCCGCGGGCGGGTTCGGCGGCGGCGGTGGCGTCGTCGGCCGTAGGCGGCGGCGGACACGACTGAGAACGGCGTTTTCGGCGGCCACCACGGCGGCGTTCAATCGTCTCTCGAGGCGACCTTTTTGTATGTTTTTTTTTGATGTTCGCTCCTTGGAGGGGTGAGAGCGGGAAAAAAACACGAAACTCGACGACGAGCAAAAACGGCGCGACCTGTAAGCGGAAACGTAGTGAGACACCAGCAGCTGGAGTGGCGATCCGGAGAGTCCAGACGAAGAGGTCCAATCCAGAATTCGAATCCAGAATGCAGAATCCAGATTCTGGACTCGGGGTTCCACATTCGGATTCCGGATTGGACCAGTGTTTCCGGAAATCAAACATGTTAGCCACCACCACTTCTGAGCCGTGCGTCCAGAGGGACTCGTGGGCAAACTATTATGCGATCAGCAACGCTTCAAGAATATATGTATGAAAGTTACACTGCAGAGCGACTGCGTGCACTCACAAACTCGACCTGTGAAGCAGAAGCGGAATGCCTCACGACTGTGGCGCGGAACAAACGGGCGCATCACGATTGTGACGCAGAAATGAAAGCGCATCACGACATTGGAATTCAGAGTGGAGAGGAAAGGAGGGGAAGGGGCACTGTTGCTATATATGCTGGGACAACTCGTACACCTGACTCGCCCACTACTGGCTGGGGCGGCTCTGGAGAGCCTCTGGAGCAGTCTGGAGGCTCTCTTGGACCGTCTGGAGGCCATCCGAAGCTCTCTTGGGGAAGTCTTTGGGTCGTTTTGGTGCCCTCCTGGGCCGTCTTGGGGCCCTTCAGCCGCTTCATTCGAACAAAATACAAGGAAACGGGCCGTGGAAGGCGCCCGCGAGCCGCTTCACTAGAACAAGTACAAGGGAAACGGCCCCCGGGCGGTCATTACCAACCAAACGTGCGCGCCTAGCCCCTCCCCTGGACCCCTCCCCAGAGGGCTCCCCCCCACCATAACGTCATCACTCGTACCTCGGTCTTTCCGTTACTTCTCGCGTGCCAGTTTGAGTGCGACTCATATTTGAATTGTCCGCCCGCCCGACGCGACCCGCCCGTTAGGGTCCGCCGCCCCGCCCCGACCCGACCGTCACGGTTCTTGCGTGCCAGTTCGAGTACGCATCATATTTAAATGTCCCGCCCGCCCGACCCGACTCGCCACTTAGGGGACGCCCGTCCGACCCGACTCGCCCATCAGTCTCCGCCCGCCCGACCCATCCCCTGTTAGGCTTCTCGCGTGCCAGCTCGATTACGCATCATACTTTAATGTCCCGCCCGCCCGACCTGACTCGCCTATTAGGGTCAGCCCGCCGGCCCCGAACCGCCCGCCTGTCAGAGCACACTGACAAATCATACTCTTTACGCGACTGGCCCTGGCTTTTCAATGGCACAACCATTTCGATTGTGTCGTGCGGAATCGAAAGCTGGACGTTTACGCTGGAAATGCAATGCAGGTTGAACAACATACAACGACAGATGCTCCGCTTGGTCATGTGAGTACCGAGGCGACCAGTCTCAGCCTGTATTCCGACACCAGCGCTTACCCCGCCGCCAGCACCAACGCCAATCCCCACCTTAACACTGCCAATTCAAGCAACAACGGTATCGATGACATCTTGTTCGAGCCTTGGTAAGACTGGATCAAGCGAACCACCCATGAATCAACACGACGGATGCAGCAATACAAGGTCGATGATTGGGCCATGGTCTTACAGAAGGAAGAACAGGGCATGGGTACAGGGAGTTGTCAACATGGAAGCTTCATAATGGCCGACACAGGTGGTAAATTGGACTCCACATCTTGATCTGGTCTCGTCAGCCCGCCGACGCCAGGGGCGTCCGAAAACTCGCTGGGCAGACGATTTCAAACAATATGTACAGACAGCTACTGGGACGACAAGTGGAAAATCGCCAATCTGGGATATGTTGAAGGACGAATGCATCAAGAAGTGAGTGGGCTTAGGCCCCCCAGCCGCTCCCTCGTGGAGCCATGGTGTCCGTTCCGTTCCGTTCCGCTCGCCCCGGCCCGCCCTCTAAGAGCCTCGCGTGCCAGCTCGATTACCCATCGTGCTTTCATGCCCCGTCCGCCTGACCCGACCTGACCTAGGATCAGCCCGCCCGACCCGAATCGCCCGTTGGGGTTCTTGCGTGCCAAAGCGATTACGCATCATACTCTCGCATCACTCTGCCCGATCCGGCCCGCCCGTTAGGGTCCGCTCGCCCGCCCAGACCCGCCCGCTAGGAGGTTCTCGCATGCCAGCTTAATTGCGCATCATACTTTAATGCCCCGCCCGCCCGACCCGCCCCGCCCGCAAGGGTTCTCGCGTGCTAGCTCGACTACGCATCATACTTTCATGTCCCGCCCGCCCGACTCGACCCGACCTCCTGTCTGCCCACCCGCCCAGACCCGCCCTTTGGGTTCTCGCGTGCCAGTTCGAGTACGCATCATGTTGTAATGGCCTTCGGCCAGTGCCGCCGATCTGGGGTTCGCTGGAAGTGCCCCCTTCAACTTCCCCCCCTTTCCCTATTCCACCCCCCCACCCCTTCGATGTTTTCCTCTCTTCCTCCACTCCATTCCCGGCCACGGCCCCGGCCCCGGCCCCGGCCCAGCTCCAGCCCAGCCTCCAACTCGGCCCCAGCCCCAGCCCCAGTCCCAGCCGGCCCCGCGCCCGGCTCCGGGGCCCTGGCCCTGAGCCCAGCCCCCACCCTGGCCCTGGCCCCGGCCCCGGCCCCGGCCCAGCGCCCGGCTCCGGCCCAGCGTCAGCCCTGGCCCCAGCCCCCGGCAGCGGCCCGGCTCCGCGGCCCCGGCCCCTGGGCCCTGGCGCCACTCCAGGCCGCGGCCCGGGCCCCGACCCCCCCGCCCTCGTCCCGGCCCCGGCTCCGAGCACCGGCCCCAGTCCCGGCCCCGCCGGCCCGGGGCCCGACCCAGAGCGGAGCGGGACACGTGCCCCTCGAAACCGGAGCCTGGTCTGGGCCCCGGCTCGGCTGCAGGTCCCCCCCCCCCCCCCCCCCCTCCCCCTTCGAACAGGCCCTCCCCCCTCTCCTTCCCCTTCCAGCTAGGGCTCCCCCCACCAGCAGCGGAACAGGCCACCCCCCCGTCCTTCCTCTGCAGAGGGACGTGGGAACGGGCCCCCCCCCTCGCCTCCAGAACGCAAACGAGCCCTCCCCCCCGAAAACGGAACAGGCCCTTCCCCCCCCCCCTCCTCCAGAGAGAAACGAGCCCCTGCCCCCTCGAAAATGAAACAGGCCCCCCCTCTGGCCCCCCTCGCCTCCAGAACGCAAACGAGCCCTCCCCCCCCGAAAACGGAACAGGCCCTCCCCCCCCTCCAGAGAGAAACGAGCCCCTGCCCCCTCGAACATGAAACAGCCCCCCCCCCCCTGGAGAGAAACGAGCTCACCCCCCCGAAAACGGCCTGCCCAGTATGACTCCCGCGTGCCAGTTCGAGTGCGCATCACATTTTGGTGCCCCGCCCGCCCGACCCGACCCACCCTGCTAGGGTTCTCGCGCGCCAGCTCGATTACTCGAGCGTCACTCCCGCCCGACCCGACCGCGACGCAGGGTCCGGCCGCCCGCACCGACCCGCCCGCTAGGATCCTCGCGTGCCAAGGCGAACGCGCCTCACACTCCAATGGCCCGTCCTCCCGACCCGACCCGCCCTGCTCGGGCCCGCCCGCCCGGATCTGACCCGCTCGCGAGGGCTCTCGCGTGCCGAGTCGATTATACGCATCATACTTCCTTGTGCCGGCCGCCCGACCCGACCCGCCCGACAGGGTCCGCCCGCCCGCCCCGACCTGCCAGTTCGGGTTCCCGCGTGCCTTTTCGATTGCGCATCCTATTGCAGTGTCCCCACCAGACCCGACCCGCCCGTAAGGGCCCGCCCGACCGCCCGACCCGCCCCCCAGCGCTCTCGCGTGCTAGCTCGATGACGCACCGTATTTTTTGAGATGCCTAACCCGACACGCCATTTAGGGTACGTCCGCCTGGCCCGACCCGCCTGCTAGGGCTCTCACGTGCCAAGTCGACTACTCATCGTACTTTAATGCCCCACCCGCCCGACCTGGCCCGCCCGACCCGACCTGCCCTTTAGGGTCCGCCCGCCCGCCCCGGCCCGTTCGTTCGGATTCTCCCGTGCCAAGTCGAATGCGCATTATATTTTGATGTCCCACCCGCCCGACCCAACCCGCCCGACCTTACGTCCGCTGGCCCGCCTGGACCCGCCCGTTAGGGTTCTCGCGTGCCGGCTCGATTATGCATCGTGCTTTAATGTCCCGCCCGCCCGACCGACCGGACCCGTCCGTTAGGGTGCGCCTGCCCGCCCCGACCCGCCCGTTCGGTATTCATCGTGCCAGCTAGATTACGCAGAATATCTTGATGTTTGCCCGCCCGACCCGACCCGCCCGGTAGAGTTTGCCTGCCCGCTCGACCCGCCCGTTAGGGTTCTCGCGTGCCAGCTCGGTTACGCATCATACTCTTATATTCCGGCCGCCCGCCCGACGCGACTCGAGGAAGCTCCCATCTCTGATTCATCGCATCCTCCGGATTCCGGATTCCAGATTCCGGATCCGACCTCTCAGGAGGCTCATGGTATCTTCCGGTTTTTGGATTCCAGATGAGGCTCCCAGTTTTGATGCATCGCATCTTCCAGACTTTGGTTTCCAGATTCGAGCAGGCCCGGCGCTGATGCCTTCCGGATTCCAGATTCTGAGATTCTGGATTCTTGATCCGATCTCTCAGGAAGCTCCTGGCTCTGATGCATCGCATCTTCCCGATTGTAGTGGCCTCCGGCCATTGCCGCCGATCCGGGGCGCTCCTGATGATGATGATGATGATGATGATGATGATGATGATGATGATGATGATGATGATGATGATGATGATGATGATGATGATGATGATGATGATGATGATGATGATGATGATGGGGATGGTGTTGGT